TGGCTGCTACATTCGGACCTGACTACTGTCACGAGCTTTGTGATCGCTGTGAAGAAACAGTTCCAACCTCTCAGGGACCACCTCGGCAGGCCGATCTTCCAGCTCGGACCAACACATGCCGACACAGTTAAGCAGCAGGTCCGAGGCAATCGCTAAAGGCGAAATGCTCCTTTCTTTGTCACTGTCAAAGTGACCCACCAATCAGAGCCGCTTCACTTTTTGCAAAACATGAAGGCCGGAATTGCCAGGGTTGAGCAGTGCTGCATCTCTCTCTCCAGCACCATGACATGTTCGGCAACAGTTGAGCTGTGCTTCATGTGTTGCATCTCTCTCTCTCTCTCTCTCTCTTACATGTCGAGCCCCACTGAGTATGACACCAATCGGGAATATGGCTTGAATTTGCCTCGTCAGGTGGTTTCCAACAAATTCACTCGTGATCTGCAAATCGATGGCATGGACATCTTTGATATCCGACTTGCTCAGGTGATGACAGGAGGCCTGACGAACTGGGGACTCAGGTCCTTAGCTAATGGTCGTCACACGGTCTGGGAATCGTTCAANNTTGAGAGGAGAGAACTCGACTCATTACAGTGGTGCAGATCTCAATTCCACCTTGACCCACATGACCAAAAACATGTTCCCGGGGCAAGATCCATACCTGTGGGACAACAGGTACACAGCCATTAAGGAATTAGCCAAGGAGCTCGCCAAGGTTGTTGCACAGAAAGGACCGTCAGCAGCGAATCAGTCCATGTTGCAGCAGATTCAAGAGCTTCAACGAGAGAATGCCCGACTGAAGAGTGAAAAAGCTCAAGGATCCAGATCAGTCATCCCAGCCAGCCCGGCTCATACCCCACCTCCCAAGGGGGCTCGCGCCCCCAAAGGCTCGACAGTTGCAGGTCTTACCCCTCACACCAGCCAGGGATCTCAGGCATCAGGTGGACAACCAACTCCACCATCATATCGTCGACCCAAAGATCGTCAGAGTTCAGCTGAGGCGACAGAAGGCCCGGTTCGCAGCTTGGAGGACTTTTGGAATGCTCGCCCCACCGATGCAGTACCAGAGGATTTCGAAATGGCAGATGAACATGAGGGCAATGATGATCTCGCCACTCTCGCCGGTAGCCCGGAGTTTCGTCCCGAGGACTACGATGAGGCCGATCCTGTCGAACCCCTTGATACAGTGCAACAGTTTGAGCGAACTACTCAAGCCAGGTTCCTTGAGGAATGCAAACTTGACAATTTCAAGGTGAACACCATCAACAATTGGGTGTCCCAAAGGGTCGGCAAGGACAAGATGGCTCAGGTCCGCTTGGCAGGTTCGGAATTGGCAGCAGCCATAGAACGACTTCCCGCGGGGAATCGTCCGGCTGTGGATGCCATTGCAGTCCAATGGGGACTTCCAGTCAATGCTGCTGCTAAGATCAATGAGAGATCTTTGTATCAGTTGATCGCCACCCGTTACGTGTTAGGACAGGAGTGACTCACGGAACCCCCGACAGCCAGGGCCTCACGTCGCACCAGAGACTCCACTAAAACTGTCTCCAGGCCTCAGGTTGTTCGCTTTCTTCAGGCATTTTTCCGATGGTTTGCATTGCTATTGCCTGCTCTTTTTCAATTACTACCACACACCATACTTGATCGTTTGCTTTGGGTACGCGCTCGACTTTTTGTACAGGCCATACT